TCGATCTTACTGCGAGTCAATAAGCACATAAGCATTTGGACAATTTATAAGAGTGAAGGAGTACACAGTTGTCTTAATGAATAATAGAAGAGGCTGAACCTAAAAAACGTTTAATGAATATTCTATTTTTCAGACTAATAGTAGACAGAATAGAATCAGGTTTTAAATCGATCCTGACTGGCTTTCGGTCTAGAATAGTACAAGTGGAGCCAAAACACTTATGTAGATGATCCCTCAGTCTTTAAATTTATTTAGAAGATCAAAAATAAAATCGAAGAGCCATCAGGCGATCCGACCTTATTTAGGCACTAATACAAAAAAATGACGACTCAAAAAGCAGGGCAGATGGAATACTGAGTCAATTGCAGTCAATGATCTGTAGACTATGCCTTGAAAATGTGAATAAAGGCAGTGTGTTAATCAAGTATGTATACCTATTTAAATAGGTCTTAACAGAGTAAACCACAATTTCCCTCTGAATATGCCAGTAAAACCGGATCTAGTGAGAATCATCTCTCCGAAAGATTTCTGAAGATATAAACTATCTTTATAAGTCAAAGCAACTACAGAATAGTGTGATCATAGCTGACTTCAAGGAAATGGTCATATATCTGCCCTAGTCCCTGAAAAAGCGCTGTGAAACTTAGCTGTGAAAAATGAAAATAAACTCACTACGGGTTTTCACATGCCAAATTCCAGGGACTTGTTTCTCGAAACACCATGCAGAGAGGTGGAGTCAGTTAGTTTCCAGTTCCAATACATAGCTAGGCTTTCCCATCGCCTCAGATTCAACAACTACTGATGCAAAAGTGAACAGACCACAGCATAGATTTGGCTAAAATACAGAGTAGCAGGAGATAAACCGGTTAGAAGGATTTGAGGTCACTTAATAAAGATAGCGCTAATATGCGATCAGCAAGGACGGAGCAATTCTAATTGAGGAAGAAGCAAGGATAAGGCAAAGTCCAACATAAATTTGAGCTCAAAATAACTGTTAAATCTAAAAGTTCGGTAACCAAAGCAAAAAATATATATTTAAAGCATTTAGGAGTTTTATGGAAAGACGATCAACTATATTTCTGAGAGGTTTTTAAATGTCAGAGATCAATAGTAAATTGCTCAGTGTTAGTTTAGAGATTTTAAGTTAGAAACAATTGTAAACCTCAGCTGTGAGATAGGCATGAAGTGGGGTGAAGAGATGAAATTGATTTAAATACTATCTTCATCCATGAGCATATAAATAAAAATCCAGAACTCCAGGAGAAATAGTCCATGGCAAATCAGAGGACAGGCATTCAGATATGCGACAAGAGAGATAGAGAATATTCAGAGCTACTTGGAAAAAATTGATCCCATGCTAGTGCTGATACGATAGAAAAAACTTAATAGACCCTGTTTATAGACCTGTGCAAATTGACACGACCATATGGAAAAATCCAGAGCAAAATTCCCACCCTTTTGTTACTGTTAATAACATTATTTTGATGCAATCGGGCTCCGGTCGAAAATGCATTAATGCAGTATTGACTAAGAGGCATACAATGATGGTTAACACTTATGTGTAGATATAATTTTGTAAAAGATAGAGAAAAAATATAGACCGAATAGGTTAAATTCATCAAAAGAGGTGAAAAATAAACATGAGAACTTAAAAGAAAAGGTAGTGAAAATCAACGACCTAATCATACCCATTCGCTGAGGCAGAAAATCCGCCGATCAAGCTCCGCATCACTCAGCCCGGCTACCAGTGTTGCGCCTATGTCAACAGCATCGTCAGCTGAAAAGCGAGCATATTTTACGGGAGGTGGGCCCTGAAGCCTGCGCTGGCATTCAGTCAGTGGTGTCCAAATATAGGTCTCGGGACAGGCGAGCCAAGAGGGCTGGAACCTGCCTTTATATGACATCTTTTTGCAAGAATGGATGTAGTAGCCCATGTAGTATCCCGAAAATTCGGCGTAGGAGGTCAAACGCTGTTCCACCGTTGCACCAGGACCGTATTGGCTTGCCAGATCCCGAACAAGTGCAATTTCCCTGTTAATCGTAAAGTAATTGTCCTCTTTAAGCGGATTGAGGAACTAAATGCTAAGGTTAATATTGTACGTAGTAAATGGGTCACAGTAAACTGTTAGACCATTCGAATTAGCTATTTAAATTCAAGTTTTCACTATAAGTCGGTTTCGAGACTATGTTTTACTTGATCAAATATAAGCATTATAAGAAAGTTTATACAACAAAGTTTAAAACGGCACCTTCATTAGCCTTCTTTCCAGAAGTAGCCTCTGAATCTAAAGACCTAAAAAACATGCCAATGTACACAATGCAGGGTTTTAAAATAATGTTATGCTGGCTTACATAGAGCATATGTAGCACATAAAATGAGTCAATATAAAATAGTTTTGTTAATTATCTTTATACTTGCCTCCTTTTGGATGGCGGCTCAACACCCTTCCTCGACTTCAATCTATCAAGCAAGCATAAGTTGGTCCTACTCAACTTTTCACCACTGTTGCTCACATTCAACGTAGTCCCTAATCTATTAATTTCAATAGTCTATCTTAACTTCTTTTTAACAGCAGACGTACCATGATCAACAAACCTAATAGTTTGAGACCATTCTATCGCATGGACCCAGCTTCTTTACAAACATCTTTTGTGTCCCCCCAATCTTTGTCAAATAGGTCGGCATGTCTCACCAGCTCCCACAATTTCTTATGTTATGCCATCTTTAAAAGAGAAATATTACCCATTATCGAGATCCGGCTGCTACAAGATTGTTTGTTCATGTAGTCGATGTTATGTTGGTGAGATATGCCGACCTATTAGACAAAGACTGGGAGAACACAAAAATGCTTGTAAAGGAAACTGGATCCAACGATGAAGTGGCCGAACACATGGTAGAAACGGGACATGAAATAGAATGGTCTCAAACTAGTAGGTTTGCTGATTACGCCGAACACATGGTAGAAACAGGACATGAAATAGAATGGTCTCAAACTAGTAGGTTTGCTGATTATGGTATATCTGCGGTTAAAAGAAAGAAAAGAGAGGTTATTGAAATTAATATATTAGGAAATACGTTGAATGTGAAAAACAGTGGTAGAAAGTTGAGTAGGAACTACTTATACTTTATTGATAGATTGAAGGAGAGAGAGAGGGTGTTGAGCTGCCATCCAAAACATGACTAGTATCGATTCTATATCGATCTATGTTTTTAAATTCTCTTTTGCTTAGATGAGACTATATAAGAGGATAGTTTTCTTATCTTAGTGTTAACTTGAAAATTTTACAAGAATGAATCCAAGCTCCGATGATGTCCATCATATGATGGACGAAAGCTCATCCCGTTTTAATCCGAAAAGAGGAAGGAGCTCTCGTTGACCACGTCAATCTCAACGTAGCATAAAGGCCAAACGGCTACAGTAAAACGGAATTCAACCATACTCTTTTGGTGAGATCGACCATCAAATCCCTTCTTCATACACTTTCATACAAAATTCAAGTTCTAACAATAATATTCAAAATAATTTCCAGTATTAGACCAGACTTGGAGCATTCCTAAACATTTAGCCGACATCGTAATCGGCATTATCATTGAGATACGGCATCCCTAGTACAGTTACGATTTATCAGTGACAAGAGAATGCAATCCTCTTGGCCAATTTTCTGCTTAATTGACAATATTAATAATGCATTATAGTAAGCTTCTCTGCAGAAAAGGAAATATGATAGTAAGCAAGTTATTTAGATCTTCAGATATTAAGTCTAGATTCAGACACGACCAGATAGGATTTTATCTCCGGAAAATTTTCAGAAAATAAAAATAGTAAGGGATATGTGAAAAAGGATCCCGTATTTGGTTGGTAAAAAGCACCACAAGAAGCTGCATAAATATGGAATGTATAGATAGCACAAAGTTAAACCACTCAGAGAAAATAGGATAAGAAATCTCACAAATTATATCGAAGATTAAGATAGAGTAGTGAACCTTTGGACCCGGAAGCTATTGCAATCGCCAATAAACTATTGAATTTTGTACTAAAGTATAAAATGGTAATCAAGGATATTTTAGTGATGATAAACACCTATAGGAAATTACAGTAACAAGTAAGACAGATAGAAATCGAAACGTCGAAACAATTTTTCTTAACTGGTTAGTCTCAATTTGGCTAAGGAGGATAATCTGTTCTGATGATGTTAGCCATACGACGGACCAAAGCTTAGCACGTTTTCACTGTAATCGGAGATTACCTCAGAGATAGCGTCAACAATGTTCCAGTAAAGCCAATTGACAGCTGGTCAAGAAGAATCCGTCGTCGCCTTCTGGTGGGATAGACCTTCGAATCTTTTAACCAAACACTTTCACTCGAAACGGAAGTAAGTTCAACAATCATAAAACAAGAGATTATTCGAAAACCAACTTCTGGCATATACTAATGATACTATACTTGGATGATTGCTTCGCCCACTCGTCGCATGGAAAAGAAAAATTTGACGAATTTTTAAGCGGTTATTCAAAAACAAATCAGACGCAGAAATAATCTTACATCTATAGTATAAGATTAATAACAAAGTAAGGATTGGAATAATCAAGAGTATGATCTTAAGAAGCATAGTACTAATGTATATGGATTTACGGGAATGGGTAACTAAGAAAACTAAATAAGATGTGAAAGATGGGATAGGGATGAAGAACCAGAAAATAGGACAATGGTTAAACAGAAAAGTTGCCAAAGGAATTGCCTTCACTTGCCAGTTTGATAAGTTGTAACTCTGTGTCCATGATAATGTTTCTCAATAGTGATGCCAGCGAAACGCCAGGTAACGTACCAAATCAACGGTCTGATACTGGAAATTCTAATGAATACAATGGCAGAGGACGCAGTGCTAGGAATGCTCTATTAGGTCTTCCTGTCGCTACGACCTAGATGCAGAATCAAGGCCAAACGAAACATTATACATATATAGTAAATTGCGACCAAATCTAAGGTCATGCCATCTTGACCTACTAATCCATTATTTTTAATAAAGTGGCTTTTATATTAAAAGGTTTGGACTTATTGAACTGGATGCATTGTATGTAAATCGCAGGATCCCCATCTACAATTGGTTTTACATTTAGGCATCTCTAACTAACATTTATAATAGTTCATAATAGATCGATTCTTTGATCATTGTAACATTCGGCTCATACTGAATGCTAAACTTTTTGAATTTATTTCTCGAAAATAAACATTTTTTGTTTTACCTAAGGTAATATCGGACGTAAACTAATGGAATTGGTTTTGAGTCGCTTTTATTTCTTCAAAGCTCTTAGTGTCCTAAAATCCTTTTCCTCATACCCGGCCAGGTTATGCAATAAAGTTAGATAGCTATAAGTTCAGAAACCATCAGTAAATCCAAGTAAGTATTATGCCTTGATAATTAAGTAATTCGATTTCATTGTAGGTAGCCCAAGAATGAAACCCTTGGGTACATAAATCTAGGTTTGACAACATTCTAATAGTCACACCGTCTCTCCCTCTTGCATATTGTAAAATAAGATTGCTGCCAGAATAATTCGAATAAAAGAGTTTAAAGGTTTTGTGACCAACACGATTTTCAACGTTAATTACGCTTAACTTGGGTGTTTATGACTAAAGTTCTACAAATTACTTTATATTCCACAAGGCATTTTCCAGCACTATTCTCCTATCCTCAGAAAGGACATTTGTTGTTCTTCAACGCTAAGTTAATTAGATTTCTATAATAATCAAAGGCGTGTTACCTGATTGCAGAGTAGGTACCCAAATGGAGGAAGGAGAAGGCTGGATCGTAAAAGGAGTAAACGCTGGAGATACCCTTTGGAAGGATATCAATCACGCCCACGCAGATAAGCCTCTTTCCATCAAGCCAATATTGCTGGTGATAGGAACCAAACGAGGGAGGTCTACTAGTATGTTTGGATTTGGAAGTGGATGGAACAGTGCAAAATGCCTCGAGAGCAGCAGAATCGTCCTAGAAACGATCGAAAATTGAAACTTTAAGAAGGAAGAAATACAAAATTATATAGGTTATGGCTTTGGAAAAAGAAACTCGAGATAAAAACCTTTTAACTAGATATATCAAAAGATAACCATATTGGCAATTTTTGATGATCCAATTTCCTGTCATACTACCCATAAGTGAGCCTTTTTCTTAGATTGGTTTTCGTACATCCTATTGTTCTATGGATAATAAATGAGAAGGTGTTAAAAAGTCTGAAGACAATCCACAAATGAATCCGTAAGTTTTGACCTTTAACAATTCGAACTTTGGTATTTTGTAGCAGATATGAAGACAAATATGGTGTGGCCTTAGGTTTGATCGCAGTCTCTTTTAGCTGCATGATGCTGCTTTGATCTCGTTTTCACAACTTGGTAGAAGCAACAAGAAGGCATAGTGGAAAATACTTAATCCTGCGTCCTCTGTCATAGTATTCAAGATTTCCAACATCGGGCCGTTGACGTGGCACATACCAGATATTTCGCCAGCATATTAGTGTTGAATCTCTTTCTCCAAACCTCACTTCACATGGAAGTGGGTTGATCTCGTTGTCGCAACTTGATCTTGTTGTAAGGGCGACTTAGTAGAACTCACCTAGTCCGAAGTCGTCTGCCATAGTAGTTGTCATGATTCTTAGCATCAGACAGTGGACTTTAAACATTCTCAAACGTTTCGCCAGATTCGTAGTCCACATCATCAGTGAGTTTTGCCATTCTCCCCACCAAGCTAAGAACTCGTCAAAAGAGATAAATTAAGTCAATCTCTCGACAAGTGTTCTTGGCCTATCTAACTACTCTTTACCCTCTTATTCCATTGCTGCCCTATCACAACTTCTCACTTGTTTACATTCCACTCGTCAAAATGTGTGCCCTTTTGTGGCCTCATCATACTTACTATTCACCCCGACCCCCTCTCTTTTCGATCGCCTGATCCGACTCAGGCATTCAATCCGGATCCCCTCATTGTCTCGTAAATCCGTTCCTTATCTTTCTGCTTGACCGATTTCACTCGATTCCAGTCTTAGTGTACATTTCACTTAAGGCGCTATTTCTCAAGGCTCATACCAAAAGCCACATCATCTTTGTCTTCATATCCTCACTTCACATAACGAATTTACTTATTCGCACCATTCTGTGCTCTTGTTTCCTCTAATATCGCTTATGAATGTGTTGCTTCAAGTGGATTTAGTGAAGTATAAACACCTTCACCGGTTTCAGGTGTCGTTTGGCCCCCCTCCACTCCACTTGTCAAGTGTTCCCTGTTGCGCATCGAAATCACCGTCTGGCGACCTATGCGCTTTCAATCCCGATCCCAATTTACATTGTATTTGAGGAGCTGAGATCGATGATTCTCTTACCCAGGCATCTTCCTTCTCCTTGAGCTTCAAGCCCATCACCCAATTAACCTCTTATTCCTCCCCAACCCATTATCTCATGGTCTTTAGAGCCCTGTGTCCGGCTTGATTCGAAACCGCTGATATGAAGCTGGACCACCTACCTCGCCCACTCCAGAATCACGTAAAGCACAATCCTCTCATCTCCTAAGGTGACAGTCCCATCAAAACCTAGGGTGCTAGTCCGTTGTGCATGTGTACGCTGATTGGTAACCCCTCTAGTCAGACCTGTGTAGTCACATCTAATTACAGGAACACATGAAAAATGCATACAAGCAACACGCACACACATAAATACTGAGGACTCACTGATAGCGTGCCCTCCAGCTCGGTTTCCACAACCCGATGAACTTGAAAGGAACCTAGATCGTTAGCCTAGCATCTCTAATGGTGTACAGTTTGTATGTTTCTGGCCTTAATTTAATATCCCACAGATAGACCCATACCGACAACTTAAGGCTAATTCCAGGTTCAACTTCTATCACTGTAATCTCCTTTTCTTTGACCCTCATGATCCTCTTTCTGAAAATATCTTCTCTTGCTGAATAAATGTCCTTGGTCGAAGCGTCTTAATTTAGATTCAAAAAAAAAAGCTAAAAGACGGTTGGACCAAGAACATATAATCAAAACAGGAACATATATCGCAAATGGGGTCATGAGGGCGTGAATAGGTAAATTGTAAATATTGAGCTGAGTTGAGGGGAGATACAGCACCAAATAATGGGACAAAAAATAAGGACGAGTGATGTCACAACGGTTGAACAAAAAAAGAGTTTCATTGATAAATTGTTACTCTGCTAATGATGGCGCCTCTAACTGAAGATATTGGCGAAACGACTTGGAATATATTAAGTCAACGGTCCGTTGCTGCTAATCATGAACATTATGGCAGAAGGCGCAAGACCAATTATGTTCCGCGAGGTCTCCCTGTTGCCCCGGCTAAGTTGCGAAAACGAGTAAAAACTAAAACATTAACTATTTTTAGTATATAAGCAGAGTATCGAGACTACCAGTAAATCGGTTATATATTTATTCATCGTATTTCGTTTAAGGTGATGAAGGACTGGTAGTAGAATTTTCCCACAATGATATG